AAGGTGAATTAACCTTAGCAAATTGTATAAAGAACATGAAGTTGTCTACCATCTACAGTTCTTTAGAGGTCAAAAGCGTTAAGTTTAATAACCAAATAAATAATTCTTCAGATACCGATGAAAAGAATTATTTTTGTTGTAGCTTAGAAATTGAATGGACCAAATCAATGTTCCTTTTATGATTAAAATAGAATATGAAGTATTAAAGTTTGCTATAATCTAAGAAACCATGCATTTCTTTCAAAGAATCATATGGCTAACCCTTGATGGTACTGATTTGTATTTGTTGGTATTGGCTAACATTTTTCTAATTATTAGTGGGATACCACTAAATTTAAAAAAAGCTTAGCAATTAATAAAAATAAAACTTCAAATGTAAATCTTATTAAATTAAAGAATGCAATTATAAATTGAACAAATAGTCTGTCCTGATGGAGTCAGATAAAAATAGATTATAGCATTCTGAGAGAACTAAATAGTTACATATATTCTTTGGTAGCAATAGAATTAAAAAAAAAAACTAGAAAAACATCATCTTCTGCCCTAGAAATGAGAGAATCTCAGTTTCTTTTATTTTGTTCATCAGTACATCCACACTAGGCATGGCCTCTTGTAAATTATTGTGACTAGCAGGGAGTGTAAGTCAATGTTAGTTAGTGTCTTAATTGATTTGTAGTTGATTTTCATCCCCCTTTGTCTTCCTGTGGCGGTGGCTGTAGCGATTTGGGTTGACATGTACTCGGGCTAATCTATGAAGGTTTATCTTTCTTTCACCCCCTTTTTTGGTGTGTAAAATGGTTATATTAGTCCATTTAGGCTGATAAAGCTAATGCTGTAAACCTCACAGCTTGTCTACAAGCTAAGTTTAGTTTTTACTATTTGAAGTGGGGAAGTGTGAAATCAGGGCACTGACTGACTTGGTGTCTGGTAAGGGACGGCTCCTGCGTTTGTAGATGCTGTGTTCTCACAGTAATAGAGGTGATGGAGCTCTCTGTGATCATATCAATAAGGACACTAACAATATCCACAAGGCCTATTTTCCTGTCTTCATAACAGCCAGAGGGTGAACTTGGACAACGTGTGGTGTACTTAGAAGGTAACCTTTCAACTTAGAGATATTGGAAACATTTGCATATTCAGTCTTATTTACTAGTTCGCTGTTGTTTTAAATGCATAAAGGGCTGGAGCTGGAGGTTAGCAGTGGAGTCCTTGCCAGCCTGCATTCAACCTACTTTTGACCTCCAGCACCATGGAAATAAAAATAAAACAAAATAAAGATTGGTGGCTTTGATTCTTTTTTTTTTTTTTTTTTTTTTTTTTTTTTCGAGATAGGGTTTCTCAGTGTAGTTTTGGGCCTCTCCTGGATCTTGCTCTGTAGACCAGGCTGGCCTCAAACTCACAGAGATCTGCCGGCCTCTGCCTCCCAAGTGCTAGGATTAAAGGCGTGCACCATGGCAGCCTGGCCGGCTTTGACTCTTTTAAGGCAGTGACATTGCTGCTACATTTTTTTTTTAAACAGAGAGGTCCCATCTATCATAGTATAAACTAAATGAACTATGTGTTCTCAGTCCAAGGGGTAGGTAGGGAGAACCTCTTCATCTGTACTCATTCCTCTCAGTGGCATCTGAAGAGGCCCCTAGTGACAAGAAATACCCACAAGACCAGAAGAACTATCTATTCCTATTATTATACAAAGTGTTGTTTTCAGCTAAAGTTCTTTTACTAGCTAGAAAAACCGGTAGCTATTCTCATAACAAAAAATCATTCGTAAGTCGTTGAAAAATTTGCTTTGTTTTCTGTCGATTCCTGGGTATAAAATTATTTCTATAAGGATACACACACACATACACACACACACACACACACACACACACACACACACACACACACACACACATTTTCAGGTACGTGTCTATAACTATAAGATGGGAGTAGGGGATAATAAGATCACATGAAATGGTTCAGAATTTCACAGATGCGTTTCAGTAGAGTTCCATTCAATGAGGATTTATGGAGGACCTACTGTGCCGAAGCCAGTGTGCAAAAATGTTTTCCAGGATCAGACTCCCAAGGACAGTACAGACTCTGTCCTTCATTTGTTTTTGATAATACAGACTCTGTCCTTCATTTCTCTTGGATAAAGTGCTCTCTGTCAGAGATTTTTAGCTTTTTCATGTATTTTAAGCATACAAAGTGTAAGATACCTAGGGAAAAGTTAGTCTAAAGTACATAGAATAAGTAAATCAATAAATTAATGTCATTGAGGAGGTCAAACATCTTGTGGCCCTGGATGGGTAGTGCGTAGCAAGGGTCAAGTCAAACTGTCCCCGAATGGAGAGCTATTTGGTCCTTCTTGTTTATTAATGTCTATCCATCTATACTAATGGATTTAGCATGAAAGGAAGTAAGGTGGGGGTTGGGAAGTGAGAGTCACTAAATCTCAGACTTCCATCCTTCATTAATATTAATGCTGTCTTCAACCAGTACAAGTTGGCACAATACAGTTTAAAAGCTTAATACAAGAAAAATAGTTCTGACACTTCCTTATATATTCATTGACATCAAGCACCAAGTGGTCTCTTATTACACCATGTGTCTCATTTTTATCCAATGAAGAGAAATTTCCCTTCAGTACCAATTGGTCAGCATACTGATTTTGTGTGCCCTCAAAGTGTTTTATATTAACTTTTAAACAATTTATCTATCTATGGACTCATATTAAACCTGAATGAAAACAGATGGCATGCACAAATTAACTTATTTTTAAAATCAACATTACATAAACATTTTTCTTCATTAGAAAAATATTCAATTATTCTGTTTGAACTTAGTCATAAGAGTCATATTCTTGCAGTTATGTGCACGAGGCAACTGTGGACTTTTGATTAACACAGATAGTATGAAACCATTTCTGTTCCTGGCTGGCTATGTATGATAAAAATCTTTGTGACTCAAGTTGAAGAAAACAAATAAAACTCCCACATAATACTCCTTTCTTAAACCAAACACACTTTGGTAGAACTCAAAATAATGGCTTACAATATTCTAATAATCTTCAAGATCAAGAATTAAGTATCATAGAAGTTATAAGTTTTGTTCAAAAATATTTAGTGAAACTGTGTATGGGGGCACATGTCTGTAACCCAATACTTCAAAGGATGAAGTACAAGATTAGGTTCAAGGCTAGCCTTGGCTGCTACAAAAGGAATCTTGCCTCCCAAACCAAATCAAACCAAACCCTATTGAAGAACAAAAACTGAACACACAGAGATCCCTCCATGAGCATTTGGCAAATTTGGTCCTTCTCAGGCCTTCTGGATGTTAATATCGTATTCTTTGTACTCAATGCTGTTTATACTCCTCTGAGCTCTCACATGGGATTTAGAGTCCCCATTTGATCTCTCTGAGCACTTGAGCCAGAAAGAAAACAAAATATTGGGCAGGTTTTCCTGAGCACCACCTCAGTCTCTTGCAGCTTGCATCGTCCAGTGAGCCTTTCCTTTACCTTTCAGTCTTCTTTCCTCATAAACAAACTCCAGAGAGCTTATGCCAAAACTGATGCAAAAACTAAGAGAAAGCGCTAGTCTGTAAAGAGCGCATCAAATGAAACTGGAAGAGAACTGAATGTATTTCAGTGTGCCCTACCTCTCCTTCTCAACATAGCTTGCTTTCCCATTTTGTTCTCACGTGATAAAGGAATCTGCGCATGAGGGCTGGTAAGAAGTGTGTAAGCAGAAATTGATGGCAACCAACTGCCTCCCTTTCTCTCTTTTTTAGATATGCAAGGTGGTTAGAGTTTGTAACTAGATTGTGGTGTGTTCGCTACTCTCCTGTGAACGTGCAGGGTTTCATGTAGTGGTATCTTACACAGCCTGTGTTGAGTTGTCATGTCCAGACACATGGTAGACAAGATGTAACTTTAGGGTGAGATTCCTTGGGTGGCCTGTACTGAGGTGAGACCAGAAACTGGGACATAAAACGCATGCAATCCAGTTATTAATTCCTGCTTTAAGTCCCACTTTATCATCTATTGGTTACATTTGCATATTTCCTGTCAATTAATCAGAACCTGTTAACGTCTTCATCTAGTGTCAGTCTGGTTCAAAGCAGCAGTATCCAATGCACAACGCCAGAATTTACATTATTTAGATTACACAGTTCAACTTCTAGCTCATTCTTCAAAGTTAAAGATGAAAGTTCCCAGGATAGGAGCGCTGAGAAAGGTCTGGAAGATGATTTTCAAGATTCCCATGTCTTTACTTTTAGAGGACAAAGGCATGTAAACCCAAAGGAAGAGAAACGGCTTTTAATACTGAGCAGAAACACGCACTATATACGTACAAAACAGAGGCTTCATTTGAATTAGTATTTACATGTTTTGCAAGCTCCAATAATATATGTTTTTCATTATTTTAGTAAAATTAAAGAATGGGCACTCAGCTATCTTTAAATTTTCATATCGTTCATGCTACTTTAGGAATGCCAAATCATTTTGCTGTAATAAATTTCTGCACGGCGATTGCACGGTTACTAAAAGACGCTGTAATATTTTTCTTTTAGATATGAATGGAAGAGAAAATATTAATCGATAGTTACATTTTTATGTTAGCCATTATTGGAATTTACTAATGAGAAATCTGACATGCTATTTCCTATTGCTTTAATATGCTATATATTATAAAATGTTTTTTTTCTGTGTTATGGGTGCTAACGGCATCATGTTAAAAAAAAATCCTTCGCAATTTCTTATGATTTACGGGAGGGCCAGTGGTGACAAGGTGCGGCAATACCCTGGCTTTTCTCCACTTTTGTGTAGGACAGGCTTGTGTGAAAAGTTAAAAAAGTCTAATTAGAAACAGCTACTGAAAAATAGTTTTAAAAATTCTGTCTTGTTGAGAGGCAGACCTGTTTTTTTAGATGACAAATGTCTGGACTTCTCAGTCAAAAAAAAAAAAATTCCTCAAGTGCTCACCCTGGCCTCTGCTCCTTTTGTCCTGTAGGTACCCCAAGCTGTGGAAAGAGAGGCCATCTGGGGCGGACACTGGCAGTTCCACTGAGCCAACGTTAATTTCTACCTACCCAGTCTCCTCCATCTCTCTGTTTATGGATGGCAGGCGATCTTCAGATGACAGAGTCTGGGAAACTGGTCTTGGGAGGGACCTCCTCAGGTGGTGACGATGTGTTGTTGGCATTTGGGATATTGCTGTGTGTTTTGTCACATGTTAAGAAGGTGGCCAGACTGTACAATTTGGGGCTTTGAGGAGGCTTTATCTTCCACCAGAGTTTAGCTGAGGGATTTATGGGAAGCTGCTACCTTGTGAGGTAAGTTACACACAAATGCCTTGTGATTTATACTGGAAAGATTCCTTGTTGCTCATTGACATAAATCTTATTACACACTATCCTTCTCAGATAGCAATGTCAACTGAAGAAATTATTTAAAAAAAACAAAACAAAACAAGATATGAATGGCCTTCTTTGAGTAATTTGGGATGTTATTATGCATTAAAACTTTGCCACTTTCTAGCTGGGTTAGAGTTTTCACCTTAAATGGTCTCCCTTTGATTTTCCCAAGAGAACAAATGAGGCTTAATGAGGGGAAATAAAGAAAATTTGCAGCTCATTTTTATCTTAAAAGAGCTACCATCTTTTAGCAAGCTAATGGGAGTGGAAACCCCATTTTGAGACATAAATCTGGAAGTAAACGCTTCTGACTTTTAAAAAGGAATCGTCCTGGCAAGAACCAAATGAACATTATCTCCAAAAGCCCAATCTGAAGGCAAAACAGATTTGTTAGTGTGATTATTAAAACAATTGCCACCTTCTGGTGTGAAGTGATGTCAACAGGGAACAATCAGGCAGTGCCCTTGGCTTTGGTACAGTCAAGCACACAAAGCTACCGTGAAATAGGATTGGACGGGACCTTTCATTTCGTATGAGAATTAATTCTGTAAATGCAGTGGAGAGGAGGCAGCCTATTTCTCTGCCCCCAGAAAGCAGATAAGAACAAGTCTGCAGGAGGCCCCATTTTTCCCCTTACTTTATTCATTTCTTAGTGTGTGCATGTGTGTGTTACCAAGGATCGCGGCAAATAATTTATTCTTTCTATATCGTTTGGGCAGGGGGGGGGGGAGGTGGTCAGAATTTTCCCAAAGGTTTTTGTGACTTAAAAAAAAAATACACTTTTACAATCTAAATTGTTTTCCAAGGATTGAATTTAAAAGGTTGCATTTCTTCAAGAGCAGCAAAAGCTTTCCAGATGCTCTCTGGTATTGTCTCTGAGAGAGTGAGGCTCCATCCTGGGCTTACTATGAGTCTTTCCTGTGAAGAGCCAATACACATGTAGTTTGTGGCAACTCAGCTATGAAGACCAGCTCTTTTGTGAGGTAGAGGGCCCTACAAAGGGAGATGCCCCGTAGTGAATGGAATTTATAATTGTATATGAGTGTGCCCCCCAAAATTTCAAAGGCACAAGTCTTTATCTTAGGATCTTAGATGTAAGATCTCACTGACCTTAAACTAATTCAAAGTGGAGAAACAAATATTCATTGTATGATTAGACACACTGGTTTCTGTTGTTTGTGTCTCAATAAATTACCTTTTGTGAGAGAGCTATTAACAAGGCTTTGATCTTAAAACTCCCAGCATTTGGTATTTCTTCATCATCCACAGTTGATAAAGCAAATACAAGACTGAAAAGTAAAACCACAGACGAGGTGATCAATAACATATTACTTCTCTACCAGGTTATTTTTCCCATGTACAAAATTCCTGTTTGATTTTTCAATTATTCAAAAATGTCAGAATGATAGATAAAGAGAGTCACCAACTAACCAGGGAAATCTCTGTTTAATAATATTCAATATAAAGGTTCAGAATGATACTTCATGATGGATTAAACTTTCCTCTTCTCTGCCTCATTAGGGTTCTCCCAATTTGACCCAATCCAAACCTATTACTTAATATATATCTAACAGTAAAATTGCATAAATGTTCACTAGTACAATAGAAACTAAATGAGCAGTTTCAGATAATTTAATTAAGTTGTAGGTCTTCTAATATAATTCCATAAGTATGTGAACTTTTAACTTGTGTTAACTCAATTTCCTTATGCTTTCATTTACCATTTGTTGGGGACATTACAGTGATTAGCCAAAGTCTTTCCAGCTCCTAATGTTCTTCATAAATTTTGATTTAAATTGGCTGTCACTTTCTCACTATAATAAAGTAGATATCTGACATCTCAAAAAAAAAAAGAGAGAGAGAGAGAAAGAGAGAGAGCGAACTAGTCTGGCATGTTACATTGTCAAGGATTGTAACTTCTTTCTCGTTATCACACCAAATTCACATTAAATGCCCCTTAGTAAAAAACACTAGGGACACTTAGAACAAACTGGCTTGAGTATTGCACATTCATGAAAACAACCGGGCTCCCGTGGATGGGAAAACTGTTCATCATACCATGTTCCCACATAGCCATGTGTTGGTGGCTGTCAGTGTTGAATGAGGGCCTGCCAGTATTCAGGGGCCCTGTGACGTAGAAAGGGGAACAGCAGCTGCTCCACTTAGGTTAAGGTCAGAGGCAAGCACCAATCAAGGACGCTCAGCTCAGCTGGACCGTTTTCTTAGTTCAGCTGGCTAGAGGGAGGGGGCAAGTTATGCAGGTGGGTCTTCCATTGTTTTCAGTGAATACATTTATTTTTCTAAGTAAACCTCCCCTCCCCTCCCCACACGAGGCTGTCTTCCTACAAATATGTGTTTACTACCTGCTTTATTTCCGATACAGGGACTCCGTCAATAAGATGCTGCCATTGCCAATTAGCCTCTTTGAAGTTATCCAGATGGACCAAAACCAGAGGATTCGGTTCAGTGACAAGAGTGACCTAAAACGTTTAGCAAGGATGTCAGATATTTTTCCCCTTTCAGCGGTGGCATTTCTGCACTGTTTGGGTAAGAATTTGAGACCACGCAGAACTACTCAATAGCACCGGGAAGGCAGTGAGATACTTGCATGGAAGGGAAAAGCAGTCTCCCTGGCTAACAGTTTGTCTATAAAAACTCTGCGTGTGCTGTTTGTCCTCACTGCCTTCACTCGAGAAGGTGACAGCTGCTGCTTCTGCTTCTGCTGCTGCTGCTGCTGCTTCTTCATCCTCAAAAGTTTTGTGTGTGTGTGTGTGTGTGTGTGTGTGTGTGTGTGTGTGTGTGCGCGCGCGCATGGGTGTACGCCATGTATGTGCAGGTGGCCATAGATACCTGAAGAGGGTATTGGATTCCATGGAGCTGCTGTCACAGGAAGTGGTGTGTTACCTGATAAGCTGGGAACTGAACTTGGGTCCCTCTGAAGAGCAGAAAATGCTCTTAACCACCAGGCCACCTCTCCAGTCCCAGAGCTGAGTTTCTTTAAATCACTTTTTTTTTTGTTTTGCGCACACACACACATTCACACACACCTTTTCAAAATGATTGTTACTGTAAGTACTGGTAAGACTGACTGTTTATTGGGATCACTGCCTTTTGCTAATCAATTTATGTGTTTCTGTATATATGTATATATTCATATATATATATATATATATATATATATATA